TTCCCTTCACTGATAGATCAGAATAATTCAAAAAATATTTCATGGATTGAACTCCAAATATCTTGCTTCAGGATTGCCCACTGTACATGCTATCATGACAGAGTATCCAGAGAAAGGAGATTGCCTATCCTTAGGAGATAATACTAAGTCAACTTTGTCAAAGAAGGTCAACAAAATAATTTTCAACAAAAATGAAGAAACAAAAAACACTGACAAGAGGAGCACATACCTACTCCATTCTAGACATACTAATTTGCAATTACTTGTTTCAAATTTCCCATTTCTGATGCTGTGGAAGTTAAAACTCGGTACTTACGGTTTCCACAGTTGAATCCACCTAATCCAAACGGGCAGCTGGTAACAGAAAACAACAGGGAGTTTTAGTGGCTTAGTAGTGCCAACACGTCACCACAGCAATATTAAGAAAGATGGTGGGGTAGGAGGAGGGCAGAACGGTCACCATACCTCACACAGGTCTCGTTTTCCAGCTTATAGCCATCTTCACAGGCTAAAATCAGAGAAGAGAGAAGGGCCATAAGCATCGTGTAGTGGTGCGGGGAGGTGTTTCCCATCACCGCTTCCCACGGCAGCTGTACCCCAAACAACCTTGGGGACTGACAAGCCGGTGTGCGCTGCTGGCACAGCAGGTATGCAACACGCTCTGATGTCATGCAGTATCTCCTCTGGCTTAGGCAAAACACCACACGCTTAAATTCACCTCCCACCAGCTTTGATGGGACCATTTCGGGGCTTCCTGGCAGAGTCAGCCCAGAGCCTGGCACAGGGTGGGCAGCTGGTAATGTGGCAGAACCTCTTCTTGCCCAAATGGAAACTCACTGCACACTTGTATTGCCTCCCACAAAACAGCAGTGTAAAAAATCTGCATGTGTCTCCAATTTTTGTTTTGAAATCTCATTTGAACAGTGCTACTTTAGCACTGATGCATGTTATTCATTACTTTTAAATGTTAGTACTGCAACAAAATGTTATGCAGAGGCACAGTTAACCCAAAGTGATATGTTTTGCCTCATGAAAAATGTCTTCTTTTTAATTTATTTCAAATCTGGAGCTAGATAAAATTTTAAAATATTATATTTTACTATAGAATAGAAATTAAATTTTTTATTCAGTCTAAATAACCCAGAAAACTGCTATGTAAAAAGTGTTGGTAAAATAACAGAAGCCATCACTTCATTGTCTTAAGCTGTGCTTAAAGGACAGCTATCTCATCTCCTGAGTTATCTGAGAAAATTATGCTACCCTTCTGATGAACAGCAAAGGTGATGATACACTGGACACACAGTTGTAAGCTTCAAATTACTGAGAAGATAACTGCTTTTGATCATAGTCACACCAGAGCTCCTGCAGACCCACTGCCTTTTGCAGAGGCAGCGAAGGTGGTCACCTGAGACAGCTCAGACAGAGACCTGGGGAGGAGTGACATGGATGGAGTCACTTTGGGCAGAGGGACAAGCCAGGGCCAGCACGTGCAGCAGAGTCTGCAAGACATCACCCAGAGGTCTGGGAAATCCCTGCAACACACTCCCCAGGGAATAAAACTAGATTGTTAAGAGAAATAAAACATGCCCATGGATTTTTTTTCCCCTCAAACATCATATGCTTTAAAATGATGAGGCAGCAGCTCCCAAGCCCTCTTCCCTGCTCCCTAACTCTAGGGATAACCTGCAGCCGAAAGCTCGGGCGCTCTCTCCAGCAAGCGCAGGGAAATCTGTGGGGAGAGGAGGGATCTTCCAGCAGAGCCAAGCTGCAGCAAAGCCCTCAGCCTCCTCTCCTCCTCTTCTGCTGTTCCCAGCACACCAGATGCCTTTTCCCCTCTAGCACAGCCTGTAACTCTATTTTCAGAAGCACTTAGCACAGAAGAGGAGGAAGGAAGAAAAGGACAACCGTGCAGTATTGTCCATTAGGATGGGCTGGCAATACCACAGTAAACCAAGAGAGAGCACTAGTTTTCTGGCTGGATTCAGAAGTTTGTGGTTCTTCCAGCACCAGTAACAGGCGATATTGATGCCAGCAGGGAGCAATGTGACTGTGACCTCCCCCTCATAATACAGGTCACAGAACTGCCCTAAATTTAATTCCAGTTTCAAATCAAATAGTTGAACTGGAACTACATTTTACAGAACAATCCAAGACTGATTTTAATATTTTCAGTGACGAACAATCAACTACAACCCTGGGTCAGATGCTCATAAAGTTAATTTCCCCAGCCATTAAAAATATTCACCTTCTTTCTGGTCTGAATTATCCCAGTGTCAAATTCCAGCCTTTGGATGTTTTCTTGCTAGGCTAGGAAAGGTTATATGATCACTTTTCTCCTCCTCACCATCACATCACTCCTTTGCCTTTAATAAAGCCAAGTGCACGGAGACCTTTGAGTCTCCCTGGCTATTGCGGCTTTTCTCTCAATGCTCACAGGTTTTCTTTGGCCCTTTTGATCTCTGGTTCCTAGAAATAGACGTCCCAAGCCCAGGGATAACAAAACTTAGCCTCTTCTGCCTGCCTGTGCCCCATAAATGCACCCAGGGACTGTATTAGCCTTACAAGTCAGACCTGGGGACCTGTTCTTACCTGCCAAACTCTCTGCACAGCTCTGCCCAAGTCCCTGCTTTCCAGGAGGTGTGACCCACAGTGTGCTGGGCACTCTGCTCTTGGATGCCTAGCCTTGCTTGTGGTCATACTGAAATGCTGTTTGCCTATATCCCATTTACTAAGCACCTCATATCACTCAGCATGCCATTCTCCCCTGCAAAGTGTGTGGATGTAGATGGGTGGATGGACTCAACATTGTGAATATTGCAGCTCTAGGCACAGACTTGCTGTGGCAACTGGCACCAGTGATGACAGGGGGGCTGATGTCCATGGTAGCTGGTCTTGGATCCCTTCCTCTGCTCTACAGAGCCTCACTACTCCTCCACCTTGCCTTTCACTCCATTTGTTCTCCCAGACCTGGGGAGGGTGAGGCTCTTTACATAGACCCCTGCATCTCTTCATGATGCTATTTGCACTGGATTTATTTTTCTCTCTCTAAGATGGCTTCTTTGAAATCAAGGAAGAGACCAGAGGCAACTGGACAAGAGTTAAGAGCCTTAGTCAACCAATAGCCAGGGCAAGAATAGTAAATTCCAAAGGACCCTTGCCTGGCTCAATCATGACACCGAGGCATTAGCAACTGGATGAGTTTCTCCTTTCATTTTCTAACAAAAGCAGATGGAAACATTATGAAGTAAATGTTTTACCAAAGCGAGCCACAAGATCAGACAACAATTAAATCTGCAGTGAAGGGGAGGGAGGCATCACCTCAATAGCTTGGCTGGAGTTGCCTTCTCTAATGAGCACAGCAGCCCCACGTACCCCAGCCCCAGTCTGCTGCATGCATGTTGGGAAGGCCTGGAGGAGCCTGCAGGCAGATGCTGGAGATTGGATGAGAGCCCAATCTCACCCCTCAGCCCTAGCCCAATAACATGTGTAGGGCACGTACACCTGGAGCAGTCTCAAAGTTGGAGCTGTGCCTTGGGCAGGAGCAGCCCTGGGACCCCACTGGCATGCAGCTCCCAGGCCAGGAGGCTACAGGGGTGGTAAAGAGGAAAAGCAAAAGATCCTGAACATGCATCTCTCCGTCTTACTTAAATGCTTGGCGCTTATATCTTTTCCTCTCCTCACCCTGCCTTTTCCTGCCACTTTGCTTTCTCCTCTGGCATCTTTCCTGCTCCTCTGAACGCACTCCTAGGAGAGCTTGTGCTGTCACACTCACTCAACAAGCCTTCAGACATGAGCAGGAAACAGAGGAAAGGCTGAAGTGTCAGGGGCCAAGCAAAGCTATCAAGTTTTGCTTGTCTACTTGGGATTCCTTTGCCTTTGCCTTCCCGAAAGAGACTCAGGGGTGTCTTTGGAAACCTGCTTTGCTGCTCCTTGCTTAGCTCTGGAAACACTCTGTACTGTTAAAAATAGCAGGCCCCAGAAAAGTTGACACATTGGGTTTGTCACTCTGCTTCTAAAACAGTCCTGAAGACACAGGGAATGTTGAAAACCAGCAACAACCCAGAGACAACTGAACTGCACAATGAGCAGTACCACAGCCAACATATCGGAACTCCTGTGGCTCAGAGACCCAACCCCTCCTTGGTCCAGGGGATGCTTTTTCAAGCATGCCTCACGGGACAGACACCGCAAGGCAGGACAGAACAATCCAAGGGGTCAGGACAGCCGATCCCTCCTGCCCCAGCAGCTCTCCCAGCCTCAGCCGCCTTCCCACGGGGGAGACCGGACAGGGCAGTACAATAGCCACTTCCCTCTTTGCAAATACTATAATTGGAGCTATAGTGCCACATTTTCACAACCCACAATGAGGGTCGGATGCTCAGGAGACCTTGGTTCCTGTTTAGTCACTAAGAGGGCAGAGATTTTTCAAAGGCTGGTATATTGTATGCTATACTTATCAGAAAATAACCCTAAATATCAAATGAGGGCCACAGCTTGGCTTTTGAAAAAGCCTTTAAAAATCCCAAGCACCTGGTTTATGCAGATGGGAACAAAGTGCTGCTGAAAAACTGGTATCTTGCTGGAGCGTAGCATCATGCAGACATTGTTACCCTCACGCCACTGCATTTCAGCCAAAATCCACCATCAATCCCGGCCTTCAGACACCCTCGGGGTGGTCAATAAGATGTTTCCTACTGACAGCAGAGAGCTGAAGGTGGAACTGAGGCCTCACTGTGTGCAGGTAGGGTTTTTTCTATTGTACACAGCACACAAGACCCCTAAGTAGGGAGGAACCACATGAACAAGATGTTACCTCTCTTAGCCCTCCACAACCATCGCATCCCAGTGCCTCACAGCTTTTCAGGTATTTATCTTTACAACACTGCTTGGCAAGAGATGTGGACAAGAAAAATGGAGTAACTCACTCTGGGTCCCCACCACCAATAATGCAGCAAGAACTGGGCAAAAGCCTCCCAAGCTTCATCTCAACTGCCCACTCACTGCATAAGGCCCTTCTCTGCCTCTTAAGGATTGGTGGAGATGGTCAGCATTTCCTAATAGAAATCCTTTCCCCAATGCACAAGATGAAGAGAGGGAAAGAAAACACAAAGGAGAAAGGTTTTGCCTGGAGCTGCAGAGCAGAGGAGAGGCAGGACCATGGCTCGGGACCCAGAGATGGCCATCCCAGAGTCTGCAGCACATGAGTTATTTCCAGACGCATTTTTCTCACTCTCTGATCAAATTTGGAATCATCAAAGCATCTCCTCCTATTTCAAAAACAATCCAGTAGACACTGCCAGAAACAATATATAACCACTATTGCAATTCTTATTGATATGTCATCAGAAAACTCTATTTCTTAAGAAGTCCTACAATGACCACTGCAACTAGGGAATGGACACTCTGATCCTCCAGAAGTAATTTTGACCACTGGCACATGGACAAAGACCTTGTTTAAAATGTAACAAACCCAAATTTCATGATCAAAGGAGTAGCTAGAAAATAATATAATCCTTAAGCTTAAAATTTCTATTAGGAATCCAGTTGAAAAATAAATTCATAATCATTTTCAGATACTTATTTTAAAAATATAGGTGATGTATTAATATAAGCTTGTGAGTTTAAAGCACTTCTCCTAAGTTCACTGAGAGTTCAGACAAAATCAAAACAGGCAGAGCCGCACGTTTTCTGTGCTCTGTGCCACTGAACTGGAGCCCAAAGCAGTCAGGCCCCCTTCTCCCTCTTCTCGATCACTGTGACTCACAGCGTGCTCCAGAAAGAGATAATATTATTCCTAGAGAGAGACTGTATCCTCAGTGTCTGCTGAGAAGTCCCCTAACTAAAAAAAGAAACTTGAGCTGCTAATATTTATTCATAATATTGGGCTTCTTGCATGCACAGCAATACACACACACACACACTCATCTCCACTGGAACAAAAAGTTTAAGCGAAATTCAGGCAAAATACACCACACAAAGAGCAATACCTCTGCAGGAGTGGTCCATCTTGTTGTATTTGAAGTACCCACTTTTGCACTGGCAGAGCGCGATCCCATCGAAGTCGGTGCACTCAGAAGTTTCCTTGTCGCATTCGGGGTCTTTCTGCTTGCACAAGCTGCCAACTGTCGGGAAGGGATGGCCCATATTAGCACAGGTCTCTCTGAACCCACCGTTATGCACATTTGCTTTCCCCAGACATCACATTCACCTCGTCTGCTACTTTAATTTCTTTTTTTTTTTTTAATAATATTTGTTCCATTAGGAGACAGTCAGCATTACACTATGTCACCGTTTCTTGTGTATCTACTGTCATTTGTACAGGCAAATAGAGGGGGTGCATAATAATTGTTTCAGCTCAGTGGCAGAAGGGGAAATGAAAAAGAAAAATTTGGTTTGGCAGGAGCTGAAACACATTCACCCCCTGAGACAGTTCAACAAATCAATTTTTAAGTTTATTTCAAGCAAAACATTTTGCTCAGCCCAAAACATTTTTTTTCCATTTCAATACTAAGCTCTGGATTTTTTCACTTTTCAAACAAAGATTTCGTTCTTTCATTTACATTACTCTGAAGCAATGTTTTACTTTAGAAAGTCAGGTTTGTTACAATGAGCATTCAGCAAAACTGTGGGCAAATGATGGAAATTGTGTCAACAAATTTACGTTTTTTACTGGGAGGTCAAACTAAATAGAATGAGCAAATGAAAAAATATTAATGAGAAATAGGATTTTATGGAAAACCTGTTACTCATTTGGCACTTACCTTTTATAAACCTCTCCCTGCTAGATCCATCATCTCTTTTTTTTTATTATTTGACATCTTTTCTTTTAAGAACAAGAACATAATTCATTTCTTATTCTCCTTATTTCAAGTTAGAAGTAAGACTTTACCAGAAGCATTTTATCAGAGGTAACAGCTAGAGATAATCTGAACGAGCCTACCAAAATAACTGAATTCAATCCACGGTGGGGTGGGGCTTTAAAATATGGCATATTAAAATAAAACCACACTCAAAATTTCTCAACTTCGTATTTACTTTGCCAAAATGATCCAAGGGGTTTCCCACTACACCCAAGCTAAGTGCTGCTGCCCTTCAACCTTGAAGCCTGAAGCTGCAGAGCTCGTTACAGGAGCCTATCTTCCAAGGGTGCTCACTCCCCACATCCCGCCAATACCTCTCACGGCTAAATCTCCTCTGATGCTCCCTGAACAGGCAAGGACCAGGAGATGCAGGGCATAGGGTCACCAGCACCAATGGGGTCCACCTGGAGAAGATCCTGCACAATACTGATAGACTTCTCCAGGTCTCTCTGTGCCACGCTCACATTCCCCTTTGGCAGGTAGAGGATTCGGTACAGAAATTGAAAGCTCTTAATTGTGAACTATCTTTCCACCCTACAGCAATGAAATCCAGTAGGCAGGAGAGCGCAGCTTCCCATGTAGCCTCCAGCAGCTCTAATCTTGACTGAGGGGTTTTGACTCTTGGCTTTCATGTCGTTTCCCCAGCTCCCGGCCACACAGGCAGAATAAGGCTTTTTTTTTTGATCTGGCGGGAGCCTGGTGTCACATCCCAGAGATGAAAGGCTGCCCTACAATGTCTCTAATCCTGTGCTGTGTGATGTTTTCACAGAGGCAGATTTCTCACACATGTGGTGAAGATAAGGCTCGATATCTGCATCCCTTTTGTACTGCGGGGCTCTTAAGATGAATCCCATTTAAATAAGATAAAAAAGATTCAGAGGGGTTTTTCCAAAAGCCAAAATCCTTCTCCCCTTGTTATAAAAGGAGCCAAATAAAACATCCTTTTCCCTTCCCATCACAGTCCCTCCAGAAACTGTTTACCTCTGTGGAGCAGTTTCAGGCTGGAGATGAACTGGCAGGCATCAGTGGGGGATTTGCAAGCACGAATGTAGCTTTTCACGCTGCTGACAACGTCGTAGAAGGTCACGTTGGATGCTAAAGAGAACGTGGATTGCACTGAAACATGCACAAAATTTGCCTCCCTAACAGAAAACAAAACAAAACAGCCCTGAGTACCACGGGTCAGTCTGATGTCATCGTTAGCACCTTACACATAGGACTCATTAACACACACTATACATAGGACTCTTACTAAGGCAAGCGATGCTTGTCACAGCCACGACATTGCATGCATATTGAAACAGCCACACGTTGTAACAGACCTTAAAAACAGGACAAACTGACACACAGAGAGGTAAATTTGGGGCTGTAAGGGGTGCTGGTAGCTTACTTTGAAACCAGCCATAAATCTCCCCTGGGCAGCTCACAAGCCTGTCCTCAAGCTGAGGCCAGAAGGAGGGTATCGGGAGAGCCAGGCAAGGTGGTCGGGCGCTCCCTGTGCCCTGTACTATCGCTGGGACAGACTGCATCAAGCCCAGCACCGACTCAAAATGGAGAACATGGGTCTCAAGTTGAGCATCCAGAATGCTCAGATTTCTCATTCATTCCCTGCTAGCCTTAGCCTTACCTGGTCGCTTTAACTGTGGAGTGCTGGTACCCTGGCAAGCCTGACAGCGATGCATCAAGCTGCAAGGAAGGAGAGAGCAGCTGTTAGTGACCCAGGGGATGATGGAGGGAGGCAGCCTGGTGCGACGCAGCTCGGGATGACCCTCCTAGGTCACCGACACCATCCTCTGCATTCTCCAGAGCTGCCTGCTTAAGCCCAAGGGGCTCTAAGCATCCCAGCAGTTCATCTCCTTGATAAGAAAGATGCACTGTCCTGCTGCCAGCGAGGGACAGCCAAAGTCACCATTGCACAACCTTGGACAGGAATGAAGACCTGGGGATTTTGACATGAGCACCTGCCTGAGGCCCCACTGTCCAATGGCCACAAAGGATAAGGGTGAGCCAGAAGCCAGGAGGGAGAGAGCCTCGTGCAAGGCCAAGCTCAAAGCGGTGCTCTTGGGAGACTGCACATCTTCCACAGAGCCTCCCATCCCCTGGATCTGCACTATTGTTTGAGTTCACTCCCAGCACAAGCCATATGGGCAGCAACAAGGCAAGTCAGCCCAGCTTCCCCTCCTTTGGTGGCATCTCCAAATCACCTACTCCAAAAAGAGTTGGGATGAACTTCAGCCCATCCAGGAACTGCTAACAGGACAAACTCACTCATGCAATGGTCTGGCTAAAAAACACATAGAGATGTACCTATCCCCAGCCCAGGGGTCTGTCTGGAGCAACGGATGGCATGGCACATGGGGAAGCCACCAGCCCACCCAGCATTCACTCTCAGCTGACCGAGGGCCACATGGCTGCGATAGCATGGCTGGGAAACTCCACCAAGGCAGGTATGTTTGGGTGGGTGCTGTTGCTGTGCTTCATCCCATGGGGTCTGGCTAAGAGCAAGGTGGCACCAGATGCAGTCCAACCCACCCCAGCACTTGAGAAATATACAGATGAATGACGAAGCCCAGAGTAACTGTTTTAATGTTTGACCTTAGAGGAGCACTAATGCCCTTTCCAAGGTCTGGAAAAGGCAATGCAGCCAGGAGACACTAGGAAAGGGTGGAGGTTACAGAAGCATGAACCCAGCCACACCACTTCACGAAAAGTGCTTTAAGATTTTTTTGTCTTAAGCCACATAGGAGCCAGACCTCTCTGCTGCTGTCTTGACAGCCTGGGCAGGGCAGGGGAGAGAAGTGTGCTGGGATTTCAAAGCATACATCTCACCAGTCCTACTTACATCAGACCACCATGGTTCAATGATTAAAAAGACTAAATCCTTGCTACGGTCTTGTGTCTTCCCACGACAACCGTAAGAGGAGCAAAGGGGACCTGCCCCATCAGCATTGCCCAAGTCCCAACAATGACACTCACCATCGCCAGGATTTCACCCTCGACATGGAGGAGCTCTGCGTACTTCCCATGGGTAATATTAAGTTTCAGGGGGACCTGGCCAATAAATATTCTTACTAAAAAGGAGAATAAGACAAGTTAGTCAGAACATATGTCTCTGTGCCATGCGTAGCTGTGATTTCATCCACCTTACATGACAGACTGTCTGCATGGAAAACCCCTTCATGCAGCAGACGGAAAACTTCCATCTGAGAGTCACTGCCCCAGTAAAGCAAAGTCCCAGTCTTGGGATTTTTCTCAAGGGTTGCTGCAATGTTCCCACAGTCCAAGTCAAATTCCAGAGCTCAATGCTTCTGAAGAGCCAGCATTTCACCACAGCATTCATACATTTCATATAGAAACACAGACTCGTTTAAAAGGACCCCTGAACACAGAGAGAGCTGAGTAAATTTAGTCAGTTTCAGGTACCAAAGCTATTTATAATAATTTGGGGTAAATGTATCAAATCTCTTCCTCCTCCCTGCAATGGAAGGAAAGCAAATCAGCAAGTCAAAATAAAGTACTGTAGAAAGGACATTTTCATTTTTCAAATTGTTGGACAGAATGAGCAATGACATTTGAAAAGAGGTCCAAAAGATGCATTTTTCTGTGCTTAGATTCATATTTGTTTCATGGCAGCAGAATGCAATAATCCAAGTTGTCCAGACTCAGAGAGATAATATCCCTAAATCTTGTATTAAATGTCATGAGATACTTGGTGGAAATAAGAACTCAGAGCTCCAGTTTTATGTTCCACCAGAAAAACAAATACGCTTGCAGATAACATTATAAAGTCTCCAATTCTTTCCCATTTTTTCCCATCCACAGAGCCTATCTTCACCACAAATTTTATATCAGACAGCTCTAATGTAGTAACTCTGGGTAAAAATAAGATGAGAATCACCTTCACAGTATTTATATAATCTGCCCATATCCCAGTTCAAGGCATAATCAAAACAACTCTTGAAATTAGAAGCTGACACATTCCAACTCAAAGAAATGCTTCAAACCACCCTTCAGGGACACCTCACCCATGTTTCCTTAGCAAAATTTCCATGCTTCTAATCCTTGCTGATTAAGGGTCAGAAGAAACTCTAGCAAAACAAATTCCCCTTTACAATGGGACATTGTAAATCCTTGAGCTTGAGAGTCCTCTAACAGAAAGGAAGAGGTCAGAACCTGAGCTCCAGCTAATAACTGCACTGCATGAAAAATGCTAAAGGTAGGAAACAAGACCTTGATCTTACAAAGACTTTCACGGCTGCTTAATTTTCTGCACATGGCTGATCCCACTGAAGCCAGGTCGCCCCACTCAATTCTCCCAAGCCAAGCGCCATTGCCCAGGTTTGCAGGGCTAGGAGCTATGATAAGCAGCTTTTTGGGGATTGTAAAACACATTAGGAACAGAAGGGGCACATCTGTCCTTAAGAACAAGCCTGAGCCCACTACTCCATTGCTGTGTTTTTAAGAAACCCTCAGCTATCCCTGAGCCTGCTCCCCAGGGCACCCCAACACGACAGGCATTACACACTGCACTTGTATAAACAGTAAAAGGCTCTTGTTAAAAGTGGTGGTTGGGAGCAACATTAAGCTCCTGAAATAGTCTGAGTCTAGGTTAATTTCTTTTAGAAGATTACACATAATTATTTCCATCTTTTTCTCTCCTGGTTTTTCACTTTTGTTTTCTTACCTAAATTGCACTTTCCTTTTTCCAACTCATATCCAAGAGGACACTGACAGATATAGGAGCCATGGGTGTTGTTGCAGGTGGCCAGCGCAGGACAAGGGTTGGAAAGACATTTATCCACATCTACAAAAGCAGGGGGAAAAAAAAAAAGAAAAAAGCTATAGTTACAGAATCACAAAAATCATCACTGTTGGGCTAAAAAAGATGAACTTGGTTCCTCTTCTGTGACCTCCTGAGCATTATCAGACGCTTCATCATTTGCACTTACTATCTATCCTGTTCTTAATTACGCTGTTGGAGCTGAAAGAATAAATACAAACCACTTTTCCTTAAATATTCACACAAAAGCCCTTGGGATCCAGTATTGATCCATGTTAATATGAATACCCAGCTTGTCTACAGCACTGCTCAACTGCAGATCTCAGGGTGCTTTTCAAAGACTAACAACCCTACAGTTATGGATGGAGTACCATCTTCACTTTTAGGTCCCTCACTACAAGAAGGACATGGAGGCCCTGGAGCATGTCCAGAGAAGGGCAACGAAGCTGGTGAAGGGTCTGGAGCAAAAGTGTGATGAGGAGCAGTTGTTTAGGTTGGAGGGTTGGGGTTGTTTAGTGTCCTGGTTTGGCTGTGAAACTGACACATTTAGCCTGGAGAAAAGGAGACTCAGGGGAGACCACTCTCTACAACTACTCGAAAGGAGGGTGCAGAGAGGTGGGGGTGGGTCTGTTCAACCAAGTAACAAGTGACAGAACAAGAGGAAATGGCCTCAAGTTGTGCAAAGGAAAGTTTAGATTGGGTATTAGGAAAAATTTCTTTACTGAAAGGGTTTTCAGGCATTGGAAGGGGTTGCCCAGGGCAGTGGTGGAGTCCCATCCCTGGTGATATTCAAGAGTCATCTAGGCATAGTGTTCAGGGACATGGTTTAGTCAGGGACTTGTCAGTGTTGGGTTAATGATTGGACCTGATGATCTTAAAGGTCTTTTCCAATCAAGGCAATTCTGTGATTCTGTGTGATTCTGAGAGACCAAAGAAGGGACCTTGACAGCCCGAGCTAGACACGTGAGCATGGGCTCCTTCAGCAAAGTCCTGCCCTTTTCATCCAAACCCTGTTTCCACAATCCAAAGCTAGTGCTTGAACACTGAAACAGTCTGTAGATTCCCCAGTAACGGTGGAGGTAGCCCTGGCTGCCATCACCTCCTTTACCACGGCTGCAACCTCCTGTATGCCAGGCTGGGGATGGTCACAGCAGTGATACCTGCCTGTGCCACCACTCATCATGCACTTCCCACCAGGTGAGCAAGGCCTTGGGGATATCCAATGCTTTGAAAAAAAACATGTCCTGGTCGAAAATGCTCCTCTTGCTGTGCGTGTGACTCACACGAGCACAAACCCACGTCACACACACATGCAAGGGCGGATCATAGGCAGGACTGTGAACTTGTCAGCAACAAGGTGCTACGAGATAAGCAAGACAGCTTACATGCCATTTGTACCTATTTTGTGGCTACTGCTGAGCACGGCAGCAGAGGCAGGAAGGATGGGCTTGGTGGTTAAAGCACAAAGCACAAGAGCCAAACCCATGCATGTATTTCTGACGGTGCCGCGATACCCCACAGCGTCACACAGGCCCGAGTCAGCCCCCCATGTCTCCGTGACTAGCCTGGCACAGCTGCCTCCGCATCAGCGAGAAGGAGATTTGGTGTCTCTGATCTAAGCAGCCAGAAATGAGTGAGTGTATTTTAAAATGTCAGCTTTCACTTTGCCGTCCTTCAGCTTGCGCTTGGTACAGCGGGGACCAGGGCGGCTGCTTCTGTCGTGGCACCGAGTGCCCACATACAAAGCACCATGCCCAAGGCAGCAGAAGGATCCTTTGCATTCTGGTAACTGGCAAAACTCGATATCTAAAGGAAAGAGTAACTTGGCAAAAGTGTGAATCAGTTGGTAAAAAGAATGTTACTTCAATTTTTCAATTAAAAATTCCATTCCCCTACACTGATTTTTTTTTGCATAAAGCCATAGCTGTAACTAAAACCAATCAACCTGAGAAATAACCTTTAAATACTTAATTATTGGGTGGAATATATACTATTGCTAGTATTGCACTGAGATTAATGCAATTAGCATTATTGCCAACACACAATATCCTACAGGGGCATGAGGGACAGGCTCCTGAACTTCAAACACACAATTGATTTCCATTCATATAAAACTACAGTCAGTGTATTTACTTGAGAAGATAAGGAAACTGTCAGCAGTTAGAAATTATTGTACCAGCACATTCAGCAAGACTACGGTAGATAACCTACCAAGAGAAGCAACAGGCCCTGAACAGGAGATTTTTTATTGACGAGGGGAGAAAACAACCATAGGTCATAGTAACAGAAGTTCCAACACAAATATCAAGTGCTGGCCAACTGCCTTTTCTCATAAGCAAGATAGATATTGATCAATATCTATCAATATTGTCAACTGATTGACAAACATAAAGTGCATCCTAAGCTCACCTGGAAGGTCAGTCAGCTTTGTTTTCTTGAAATTCTGAAATGTTTTTATCAGAAATGTTCACCAAAATGCTCATCCTTTTCCAGCAGTTCAGCTTGATTGCTAAACCTTTAGCTTAAAAATATCAACATGGAGACCGAGTCTTGATCCTCAAACCCTGCTGACAACAGACCTGTCATACATACAAACATAACCCTTCAAAGACCCTTAAAGTGGGACCCAAGCATTCCTGTCCCCTCATCCCTGGCCCAACCACTGATGAGCACCATTAGACACATTACCTGTTGCTGAAGATGATGTCCTCAGCCCAGTTGTGCTGCTTGATGGAGGAACAGTGGTTGGTTTGGTAGCAGCCAAAGTAGTTGCAATGGTCACAGTGGTCTTGCTGGTTGGAGGGGCTTCAGAAGGACTCATAACAGGGATGTTTTCCTCAGTGACTTTACCAGGCCTTGCAGTGGTGGGATCCACAGCTTCTGTGCTTTCACCAGTGGTATACATATGCTTAGTGGCAGCAGGTGTTTGAGGTCTGTGGGCTTTTGTGGTGCTAGCATCACCTGGGGTTGGCCAGTGACTGGCTGGTGTTGTCAGCACAGGAGGTTTCACCGTGGTCAGTGCCGCCTCAGGGACAGTGATGCTGTGGTTTGTTGCACTTGGTAAGGGACTAAGGGGAGCATCCGTTGGCCCAGCTTGTGGGGCATCACTAGCTGTGGGGAGTAGTGACGTTGCCTTCTCAAAGCCACTTTGCTGGGTGGTGGTGGTTCTCAATGAGGCAGTCTCAGTTACTGTCACAGGAACAGTCATGGACACAATGCGTCCACCAAGCTGCTCCATGGGTGCTGTGGGGACAGGAGACCTGGTGGAGGTGAAGGTGGTGCTGTTTTGGGGCTGGTGTGTGACATCGTGCTTGTTGGTCCCTCTGGGTGAGCTCCTAGCCACAGCAGCTGTGGAAGGCACTCGCCTGACCACAGTCGTAGCTGCAGAGGTTCTTGCTTGATCGCTATCATTGGACTGTGAGACGGATGATGGTGATGAAAACAGAGGCAATAAAGATGCTAATGAATAAGATGGGGAAAGCAATGAGGAAGTGGGCAAGGAGGACGACAAAGCCTGCAGAGGGGCTGAAGATGCCACCACAGAGGACGAGAGTGGCTCAGATGACTCTGATGATGTAAACAAGTAAGTTGTTGGTGGTGTTGATGATGGCGAGTGATGCAGCGATGATACTGAGTAAGAGGCTGGAAATGCTGATGAAGATAGAGTTGATCTGCCAGTGGTCAACAGCTCAGAGTCAGTGTTGAAGAGAGTTGTATTTTGTACGCTGCTTGAAGAAGCAGAAGTCGACAGTTCGGAAGGGTGTACCAGCAACGGCTCTGTAGATGGTTCCACAAAACTGCCATCGCTGGATATGTTGCTTCTCCTGTCCTGTGCCACAGAAGACTTAAACGAATCAGAAGGGTTGGAAATTTCAGAAAAAAAGGTGGAACTTTCTGAGGAGTCAGCAGAGGTGCTGCTATTAGAGATAGACAGGAGGGTCCTTTCTCCTCCTCTGGTATATGTGGTTGAAATGTATGTGCCATCCGTGTGAGAGACCGAGGTCCTTTTCTCAGCGTTGATGCCACTAACTGGCTGATGGCTACTTGAAAAGCCTGGAGTAAAAGGACAAAATATATTAGAGAGAGTAATATGAAAGTATTTTGATGTCATATTAAAATCACTTGTTAAACACATAAAATGTTCTTGTCTGTGAACTGGCCCGTGCTCTTACAACAATTTAGAGCAGCACACAAGCATGGCTATCGAATTAGGAGTCTTCTGCAGTTCTTAATTCATTTTAAAATGGTCAGCTCAGACAGACACAAAGCTCCCATGAAGCATGTAGGTTTCTAAAGCACTATTCTTCCAGCATTGCTTTTCTAACGGGACTGAGCACTTAGCATTCTGTGATATTTTGTGGTAAGCTAAGAAGAAAAACCCATCTGTTCTCTTTATCATTCCTAATTTATAAAACTCTTATCATCTCCCTCTTATACTTCATTTCCAACTAAAGAATATCCATCTTCTTTAGTGGGTTTGTTTTTAGACACAGTGAACGTCATGCCTTTCCAGGATGAAATTATCACACAATCTTAATTTGCAGCTTATCATGAATGCATTGATTGAAAACTTAGCAGTCAGGAAATCCTAAAGGAGTAGCACATCAGTTTGCAAAAAAAATCAGATTATTTAGCATAAAAGGTGCAGTCAATCTTATAGTACAAATTTCAGGATGTACAGCTAAATTCAGCAATCTCCAAAAAAAAAACAAATAGGGTATCGAAAATTTGGCTTAATTCTACAATTGACTTAGGTCACCATGAAACAATTCTGAAAGCATCACCCAAGAAAAACCAGTTAGGTTGCAAAAAAAAGTAATGTGGCCATCAAAGAGGAAAGTCTCCCTGCTCGGGTCTATGGCTTGACTTCTGGAATGATTTCCCAGCCAAGTGGGGTCTGGCTTTGAATCCTTTGATAAAAACATCCTCTGAGTGCACCCACAGGTGGCATTGCACGTACTAATGAATGAGAACTTTGTATACAACAGAGATAAATGCAGGACAATGTGAACTTCCCCACAAAATGTACATCAGGAGACACTAACTTACTTGTGAGATCATTTTGGGAAGAAGAAGTGGGTGTCTTGGAAGAATGTGGGAAGAGTGTCTCTGTCGGAAAGCCTGCAAAGCCCCTGCTGCTGGTGGAGGTGTTGGCCGTCCCACTCTGCTCCACCAATGCCGGCCCAACCGGCCCTGGAGAGCTGGCAGCTCCAGCATAGGAAACAGAGCTCTCCGTGCCACCAGCCAGCGTGCCATCCGTCACCAAGCGCAGCATCCCCTCTCCACCACCAGCAGACGTGGATGAACTGTTCACAGGACCAGTGATGGGGCTGGACATCCTTTCCTCATCACTCGAGCTGCTTAAGGAGTGATGGCTGCTGCCCACGGCTGGAATAGGACAAAAAAGCAGGCATCTGATTTTATCATCTCAGAGCAGAGAGCACTTGTGAGTTCTACAATAATTCTGTTTTGAAATGCAGACTAATAAAATTGCACAGATAAACCCAGATTAATAAAATTGCACAGATAAACCCAGATTAAATACAGATTAAGTAGCTCTCACGTATCTGTCACCTTAAATGTGGATTTAACACACAAAGCCCACACCAAAGAAACAGGACTGTCCAAATACAGAGGGACAATCGGTACCATTAGAGTCATAATGGCGTATTTGTGTTATTTTTAATTATTACCCCAACCCAGGCAGGAAGCAGATGTCTCCTACAGCAAGAAGCTACACATCTCATTCCTGAGACTTTTTTGTTAAGCACCAACAGCAGCAGATATACAGCATGAAGGAGCAGCATCACCACCACTTATAAATCCTGCCCATGACACCTGCAATAGCTCTGATACATGTTGGTGGTCCTATCAATGCCATGGAAGAGGGGGAGGGAGAGGGAGTGGGTTTTTTCCTAATTCAAACACCATCACAGAATTCAGAAAAACTCACTGGAAGGTTCACCAGCAACCGAGAAGTAGGTGGAGACCCTGGATGGAAGGGTGGCCTCGGACCCTGGGTACCCTGCATGGCTGGATGAGACGTGTCCTGCTCCAGGCCATGCCGTGGAGGATGGGAGGGGGCTGGTGCGGGGCTCCCTGGCCGTGGCCAGGTGAGATGTGGGGTTCACTGCTGCTGTGCTCCATGTGTTGTTGTTAGCAGCAGCCTGAGATGTCCCCTCCTCGTGCCCGGAGAGTGCGGTCGAGATGTATGTGGTCTCAGTAGGAGCGCCAGAAGCTCTTTTTCCTCTCTCTGGAATTGCAAAGCAGAGATATACATACATTCAGATAGATATTTTAAAAGCATATATTTTATACATTACCAATGCCTTTGAGGCCTCTACAGGGACTAAAATCTGAATATTTAAATTCCCACAGCAGAGATAGCGCTTGGTGACTAACATCACTTATTTGCTAAGTGCGGTTCCCAGGTGAACTGTACTTTTCCCCTTTACACCAGAAAAATAGAACAGATTGGGGCACATGCCATTTCTGAAGAAGAACAATGGCAGGGAGGTAGGACCTGGTCTTGGACATCCTGCAGAAAATTCCCTTGGGAGGACCAGTGGGTTTCAAACCAACTTCCTCCTGGAAGCAGAGCTGCAGCTGAAACACCTGATAACTGGGATATAAGGAAGGGCAAAAGGTCTACTGATCCTACGCCACATCTCATGCTAGGCTCCCCCAGTTTGAGGGCTGAGGTCAAGGTTCCATGGAGCTTTCACGTGTGACCCAGAAGAGCTGCCTGGCCATCTAGTTCCTGACATGAGGAGCCCCAAGTGCCATGAATAACTTGTCAGCTGTGCAGTGCTCAGACACCCTTCACTATAAACCAGGCTGGCTAAAAAGGCAAATCTAGTTTAAAGCTAGAAAAAGCAAGGTGGGAGCTTGGGAGGAGGCAAGGAGGAGGGATGCTCTCCATGGGAAACCAGGAAACCACAATACCCACCTGAAGCACTTGGTGAAGGCGAAGGCACTGAAATGCCAGGAGGAAATGCAGGCAGTGACTTTGTTGCCAGTTCATGGAGACCGGCACCGCTCTGTGAAACATTGCTTTGTGTCTCAGGCTCTGATGATGATGAGGATGGCAGAAGGGCCACATCCAAGGACTTGGTGTGGGGTGAAGCAGGAGTGGAGCTCCCTGTCATGCTGGATGCTTCATGGGTGTCTGACACAGGCACTGTGGTCCTCTCCTCACCACTGGTGGCTGTCACTGAGCTGGCTGCAAAGGTGAGAGGAGCATCAGGCAGTTGTCTTCCCATAGCTGAGGTCCCTTCTGCTGAGAAAGGACAAAGCAAAATGGATTTAAGCACACTAAGCTACAAACAGGCAGGCGCGGTCTCTTCCATTGCCACCCTTAGGCTGGCAGCACAAATATAATGTGGCAAAAGATCTAAACCTGGAGAAAACTGTGAAGACACAACCCTTTCCTGTGCAAGGAGGTGCTGCTCACAGGAGGACACCCTGAAGAGGACACTAGGAACAAGTTGTGGGAGTGCTGTTGGGTTTGCTTCCCTTTGGCTACACTCCAGCCATGGCCACCATGCACTTGAGGGGACTAAGGTGGGATCACCGTGGTACCTAACTCCCTGACACCCAAAACAAAGCAGGGCAGGCTTGTGTAGGATCAGTAAATACTTCCTGTGCGTCCCAGGGTGGGAGTCAGGAATAACTGGTGTTGCCTCCTGCTTGTATAAACACAGCCAATGGGGTGGTCTGGAGATTGTCCTGTCTCAGAAAACACACCAAATCTTGGGGGCAGACTGCTCTTGCAGCAAGGCTGGGTTTTTCTGGTGACTAAATGCAAAAAAATAGCTAATGCATTTTAGGAAGTTTAAATTTTCCTTCATAATGCCCAATGCCATTGTCCAGCAACTTCTAGCATGCCCTCAACTCCTCCGTACAGAGCAGATGTTTGAGGTCTACAGGAAGAAGCCGCATGCTGATAGTCAGAGCTCACCTAAGGAAGTGCTTTCTGAAGCAGACGGTGAGCCTGTGAGCAACGGATCTGGGAATGACATGGTGGCACCTCTGCCACCATCACCCTGGGCTCCCAAAGAGGGCTGGGTATGGTCTGGAGAGCTGGTGATTTTGGTACCAGTGGTGGAAATCTCTGTTGTTTGGGCCAGTCTGGTGCTGGCTGGCAGAGACCTCAACGTCCTCCCTTCACCCGTGGTGGCTGTTGTGGAAACAGAGGTACTGGTGGTGGGGAAATATGTTCTTCTCTCTGTTGACAGGATGCTGAATGACACATGGCTGCTTCCAGGAGCTAAGATGTGATAAAGAAACAATTTACATTTTTACACATGTGAAACTATAAATAAACAGACAAGTGAGCTTTCTTCCAGTAACACCCAGAGGCAGCAAGTACGTGCACAAGTAGAAAATATGAGAAGATGTCAATCCAGAGAAAACAGGAAATTTCCAAAGATGTGAATCCTTCCTACAGAAATTTGTCTTCTAAAAAACATGGTTTGATGCTGACAAAAGTGCTGCTGTTATATAAAAACTGTTGACACTGCACACCTGATTTCACCATTATGTGCCTGAGTGCATTCCATGCTGCTAGAGCAAACAAGCACCCTAACAACCCAGAAAAACCTGGAAATCAGTTCAGACAAGGCATAATGCTGAGCAGTGTGAAGGTCTTAAAGAAGCCTGAAGAAATGGGATCAGGGGGATCAGATTCCCTTCAGCACTGCATCAGGGTCTAGTACCAAACAGTGGCATGAAGGACCTCAGAGACCGCATTCCCAGTTGCCTTAGATTTGTTGAGCTGGTTCCACTTCTGGGAAGCAGCATGGTCCAAGGGGCAGGACAGAGGGCAGGAACTGAAGTCCAGTCCCTGGGACTGCAGGGACATGATCTAATCCTCACTTGCTTAGTTCTCTTGCCTATAAAATGGAGATAGGATTTTGAGATAGTAAAAAAAGAATTGTGATTTGAATGTTAATTATTTTTCTTGGCACAAGGAAACTTTCCACACATGTGCCCTTTCTGTAAAAAAACCCAAACCACATTTTTTGGTCAAGCAAGAGTTGGAATATTTCAGACACAAAAATCACACTGCATCCTTCCAAACAATATATTCCACATAGCACAAAAGAGCCAAGCGAGTGTAAGATGCAGTAACAGTCCTCCTTTTACTGACAAGAAAAATAGTATTTCACTTCTAATTTGAGCTCACCTGGGGAAGGACCTTCCGCAGGAGAGTGAGAGCGTGTTAGTGAAGGGTCTGCCACCTGCTCGGTGAAATCTGTGATTTCTCTGGACCCACGAGATCCGTAGGTGTCTCTCACAGAAGACATGGATGAGGATCGGATGGTGCCCAAGGTCCTGTACACGCCACTGCTGGACGTGGAGACTTCTGCTGCCCACTGGCTACTGGCCGTGGCAGACCTTGGAGGCCTCCCACCGCTGCCGGTGGCCATGGCTGAAAGGAAAGTGCTGGTGGGAGAGGAAGCAAGGGGGTTTTTCTCTGATGTTGAGCTCTTAGCTGGTCGGTGGCTGCTTCTGACACCTACAATACAATAAAATCAGGTTTGATTTGCACATATGGAGCTATACGTTTGAGGGATTCTTTGTACAGCGTACATTTCTATACTGTTCATTGAGACATTGAATAGACCAAGTTCTCAAGCTGGAAAAGGTGCTACTCTGGGAAGAGGTGAATCCCTTATGTTTGAGCACACGTGGCTTACAAAAAGCCATGAAAATCTCAACTTAAAACCATGTTTTTGAACTGCAGGCTGTGCACAATACCCAATTTACACATTGTGGCTGCCTTTGAGCCTGTTCAAATTAGGAGTATACACCTCCAACTTCAAACCAAATCTAGAAGATGAGCTAAAACAGGCATGGTTTAGGTTTTCTAGTGACAGTCCAGAGAGAGCCAAGCTGCCATCTCAGTGCCAGGCTGAGGGCATGGCCATGGGGTCAAGCCCTCCACAGCACCAGGCACCCAGGACCACACAGGGTCAGACACAGCCTCATCCATAAGATGCTCAGAATAACCCCGGTGTCCCAGCCTCGTGTCTCACCCAGTCAGATTCACCCCACGTTTAGCAGGAGGGCTGCCCCAGGGTCCTCCCAAACTGTAGTGGGATGCCCGTATTTCACCAGCTCAGCAGGAGCAGGAGCTCCACTACGACTCGCAGAGCGATGGGCTTAATTGTGAATTAATGGTGAATAGTGGGGCAGAGACCATTTGGGATCACTCCAAAGGAACAAGGGGAGTCAGCACTGCCATGGCTGCGGGGACTCTCAAAATGCCACCTCTCTTACAGACCAGCCTGCACGGCAGATGCAGCACCAGGCAATGGCTGCAAAAAAAAAAAGGGAATGCACATAGTCCTAAGCGATGCACAGGAGTTTCATTAGCAATTGATGCTTTTCACTTTTTCACCCAAAGGCAGAGATCCACTCCCACCCTTCCCACCAGCACCGCTGCCAGCCCAATGCAGCCAGTAATAAAAATGTCCATGTATCCAACAGCAACTGATGGCCATATCTAAAGTAAAACAGTGCGGGGATGCGAAATCTCATCCATCCCAAAGCAGCCAACTTCCAGACTAACAAAGTTACCTCTGAAAGTACTTTCGGAGGCAGAGAGGGAGCTTGTGAGCTCCCCGGGAGGTGCTGGGAGATCAGTGGCTTCCCGTGAGCTGTTAGGACGGTGTGTCCCAGTCGCTGAGGAGAAGGTTGCCTGCAATGAGCTGGTGGGGTCAGTGCTGGTGGCAGAGTCATGTGTCACCCCAACTGTGCGGCCATTTGTGGGGGACCCTGGTGCCCCCACAGCCACGCTGGGCATGTCAGCACTGTGGGCATCTGAGTCCAGCGTCACCTCTTCTGAGGTTGGGATGCTCTTGGTTTCGTAATTGCTGCTAAAGGCTAAAAAGAAGGAGAAAAGAAATATAAAGCTGCATACATGTAAAGGAAAACAGCTGGGTGGGTTTTATCCCACTATCAGTAGATGTAGACAACAATTCAATACGGAAATATTTAATACTGGGAAATCATTAAGACAGGGAAAAAAAAAATGGTCTGTCTATAGGAACTCCTGAAGTTATTGCTTGCAAAATTCAACTGAAAGTTTTCAAGGAAAACCTATCCTCCTCTTCCAACAAGAATAATATTTATCCATACTTTCATTTCTGTGAAATGTTTTTAAATGTACAGAATGTGCCAAATATAATATTATTCCTCCTTTCTTTAAAATAAAAAGGATGTATTTTGTTTATAAAGAGTCTTTAAATAATGTTCTGAGTTAAACAGCGAGATATCAAAACTCACTCATGGATGTGCTTTCCGAAGCAGATGGTGAGCCTGTGAGCAACAGGTCTGTGGCATCTCTGCCACCACCCGCCTGGGCTCCCAAAGACATCCCAGGGGACCTGGTCTTGTCTAAAGAGCTGGTGATTTCGGTACCAGTGGTGGAAACCTCTGTTGTTTGGGCCAGCCTGGTGCTGGCTGGCAGAGATCTTAACGTCCTCCCTCCACTCTTGGTGGCTGTTGTTGAAACAGAGGTACTGATGGTGGGGAAATCCGAAACTCTCCTCTCTGTGGCCGAGACACTGGATGGTTGGTAGCTGCTTCCAACTGCTACAGCACAATAAAAAAACCTGGATTTATACATATGAAATTATAAACAGATGGATCCATTTTCCTCCCAGATGCTTACAGCACACATACGGATATTAAGCATAGGAAGTTTTCAATCTGGACAAAGTGCTCTTTTGGAAAGGCATGAATCCCCTCGCCGCAGGAAGACCTTACACAAAACCCAGGGCTTGCTGCCAGGACAGCACAGCTTCACGAGAGCTGGGGCAGCTCAGCCAGCATGAAGCCCCATGGGACAAGGACTGCAGGGACTTGCCTTTAAATCCCACCTTTGCTCTGAGACTGGTGGAAATCAGCCCAGGCTCTCTTAGCATTTTTTTGTAGCTTGAACACAGTATCAAACAGCAAAGAGGGGAAACCTGAGCACGGTCACGTTCCCATATGAGCCTGCAGCTCACTACACATCCCAAGGCTTAATGGGATGCAGGGAAAAATGCTCAAGGAAGCACAAAATAGGGTAAAACAACAAACTGTAGACTAACCGAGCTCACCCACAGCAGTGCTTTCTGAAGCTGAGTGAGAAGAGGTGAGCTGTTGTTCCGTGGAGGGCCTGGGCAAACGTCCCTGTGCCAGGGCCACTGAGGAGGGTGCCGAGGCCAGGGGCTGAGCTGCGGAGCCGGGCACTGCCCTTCGGGTACTGGACCTCGGGTCTTCTGCAGCCACATGGCTGCTCCCAGCAGCTGTGATAGAGGGAAGGGACGTGTTAATGTGAGAGCCCTGGGGACACATTTGCTCCTGGCAAGACCCAGGCACAGGATAAGGACTCGGAAACACCAGGGTTTTCAATCAGTTCATGTGGAATGGGGCAAAGTCTCCATTTTTGAGAGCTCCAGAATTTGGCTGCTGCCAAAGCAAGTGAGGGGAAGACATGGAGCCCAGGGATCTCAAGTTTGTTGTCCCATACAGGCTGTTGAAGCACAGGCATGTCACCCCGTCTAGCCAAGAGCAAATCCACCTGGTGTGGCTGTGAGCATGGGGCTCACACTCCACTACAGCACCACTTGGTGGGACGCACAGCTCAGGTGGGGCTGGGACCTTGCCTGGGCTCTGCAGCTGGCACTGAACCAGACGAGATATTTTGCAGCTACAGATGCCCACCCTACAGAAAACACAGCGATAGGGTCCAAAGACTTCTTTTTTTTTTTTTTCTTTGAAGTGGAAAATGGTGAGGGGTTTTAGACCAAATGATTTTTTCCCTTTGCTTTTTCCTGCTTTTGGCAGGGCATTTCAGCTACCCATCCAAATAACAACAAAGCACATGCAGAACACAGCATCTTCTATGTTTCAGGAAAGGAAAATTATATAAAGGCTTTTTAAAGCTATATAATAAATCCATAGGCCAGCAAAGCTCACCTCTGAAAGTGCTGTCCATGGCAGGTGATGCTGTGAGTGAAGGGCTTGTGGCATCCCCTGTGACAGACCTGGGGTGCAGCATGCCAGTCTGGGAACTGGTATCTTGGTGGGAGGACTGAGGCTGTCTTGGAAAGCCAGAGAGGGTGGTGCTGGGGAGGGGCCTCAGCATCCCCCAGCTGCTCCCCAAAGGGCTGGGTGATGGGGCTGCAGTATTTGTGGGAGGGCTGCCAGGCAGCTCTGTGCCCACCCAGCTGCTTGCCAGCCCAGGGGGGCTGCCAGTGCCTGCAAGACAACAGAAGAAAAGCAAATGAGAGCCCAGAGACAGGCTGAGCTGCCCACCCAGCATCCTGCACCATCAGCCTCTGCCTCCCCCCGCAGCCTGCAGTCCCCTTGCCTGCACTCTGCCTACAGCGACTTCATGTTTGGGAGCTGCAAAGAGTAATTCATCATTTTCTAGGCCAGGAGAAGCCACACAGATCCTCCTCTCCAACCTTGTGCTCGAAGCAAGCCAGAAAACTGCCCTAAGGAGGTGAGGATGGAGGGACAGACCCAGTGCACAAAGCTCTAGCAATGCAGGGAAGCCAGGCTCAACTGGTGCCCAGTTTCTCCAAGGAACAGCATCCAACTTGCTCCTGGGCTGAACTGAGATGGCTCACCTGGGAGATGAGTCTCTGTGGAGGGAGGCAGCAGCACTGTCCTTGTTGCATTGTCAAATCCAGCCATGTCCCAGGCCCCGCGGCGCCCGCCCAGTGTCCTCTGGGATGAATCGGTGCCAATGGCTGCCAGAACCGGCGGCATCCTCTCGGCAGCTGCAGGGATGCTGGGAGAAGCCAGAGCCCTCTTGCCTCTCTCCCGGCTTCCTGCAGCACGGTGATGGCTTCCAGCAGCTGGAAAGCAAAGCAGAGAGGGTCATGTTCCCCCTGGATGAGTTAATTTGTCTCAGCTGAGGTGGCAGCAGCATCACCCACAGTGCTACCCAGCCCCACCATATGCAATAGATAGGGTCACAGCTGCATCCCCCGTGTTTCCTCTGTTTAACACAGAGCACACTGCAAGTGGGACTGCTGGGAACAGAGGGTTTCTGTCACTAAAAAATATCAGTTTTTTCCAAATTTGTCTTCATTTGTGCAGGGCAAAAGAAACACACATTGTTTTAAAAAATATTAAAAATGCAGAAGGCAGTAAGGAGCTTATGTTAGGACAGCCAGCAGCTGGCAGCCTGGCCGTGCCAGCTCCACACTCTACTCCCTAAACAGAAAAAAACTCGAGCAATTAAAAAATTAAAGACAATCTCTATGCTCCTATCTCAGTAAGACACTTATTTCATCCAGTGATACTAAGAAAAAACCTGAAACGGGGACAGGGCAATCAGCACAGCCTTGTCCTGCTGGAGTGGGAAACAGGCTTTGATTTAATGCACGCTTAAAAAAATACATTAGTTTACTCATGACCATAGTCCCACCAACTGTGCTAAGAATTATGAACATGCCCAAAGTGTTCAGTTGAACAATCTCTATGTGAGGACCTCAGCTACAAACAATGATGCAGCTGGTCAGATATTTTTAACTCGGGTGCTTATGATCTGGGTTGGGTTTGTGATGGGGTTCAGCTCTTCCCAGGCAGAGGCATGGGGATGCAGGGGGGTCTCAGTTCCACACACAGCCTTTGAGCTCCATGGATGGGCAGGACTCTCCGGGGTGCTGCTGGATGGTGCACAATGACAGCAGCACCTCCTGAGAACCACCTTCATTGTAACATTTAAACAAACAAACAAACAAGAAAACCAAAACAGCTTTTCTGGGATTGGATTTCTTCAAAAAACCAAAATTTCCAGCAGTGGG